CTATGAAGGTAATTTTGTAGCTCCTCCTATCAAGAGGTGGAGTCTATTTCTTCATTCCTAACTGGCCCTCCTGCCTCTAGACCCCACTCATTCCCTCCAGTCCATTCTCCCTCCTCACTGTAGCCAGTGATTTTTCTCATGTTCAAGCCTGATCATATCCCTGCTTAAAATTCTCAAATGGTTTTTCATTACCTTGGAAAGAAGTTCATACCCCTTAATGTGACAGCTGAGTCTCTGATGGAGCTGACCCAGCTGATCTCTTTTCAGCCTCACCTCTCTTAAAGGCTTACACTTCCTCAGGGATGCCATGCCATGCCATGCTGTTGCCTCTGCTTGGAACACAACTCCCTCCCCGCCCTTTTGCTCAACTTCTCAACTTTCAGGTTTCAACTAGATTTCACTCCCTCTAGGAAACTGTCCCTCACCCCATCCTCTGAGACCGAATTAGTTAGTGCCCCTTTTGAGCATGCCTAAGGCGTCTTGGCAGTCTCTCCTTTCCCACAGCACTTTTCAGTTTCTGCAAGTTTCTACACTGTTAGACTGTGAGCAACCAGAGGGGCCCCAGAGCTTGTTAAATTTTGGGAACTGACTGATTATCCTTCTGAAGCCCTGTACTGGGATTGTCTGTTTATGTGTTGCAGAAAGCATCTTGAGGGCTGAGGGCTATATCATGCATCCTCATGTTCGACATAGTGTGTGGCACATGAGCCGTGTAGTACGTGGAACAGCAGGATGGGGACTGTTGCTTAGAGGTTCTGGACCTGGGCAGAGAGAGTGAACAATAGTGCTTACAGTTAAATACGTAGAATGTATTGAAGCGGCCTCTCCATATTAATGCTAGGTGAGTAGGAAGAGTGGCACCGACCGGGCGAGAGCCCAGGTCTTCAGAGGAGCTAGCTCATTGAATTGATTGCAAATTCATTTCCCTCTCTAGTTATTGTTAAAACGTTGTTATTAGGATATTTCAAAAGGGAGAAAAAAGTTTCTGGTTTTCTGATTAGTCTTTGACAGTGATTAGTCTTTGACAGTTCAACTCCCTATATTTGTCTGTAGTAGTAGTGATTCTTAAGGTTGTAAAATTCCTTGGATTGTCTAGCCCAGTAATTCCTGCCTCAAAACTGGAATTCTGATGTGATAAATCTGGTCTAAGTCACATGTGAGGTCTGAATCCTTATAATCTTTTCTTCTTGAAGAAAAGAGGCTGCTGCAGAAAGTCTACACTTGGTGCTAGTTTGTCCCTATGGAGTATATCTGGCTTTGCCCTTTCCTGTATGGGAATCCTTCAGCTCTATAAAGACCGATCATGTCTGCCCACCCCGCCCCCCTTTACGCTTTCTTGTGTTTTCTCCTGGATAAACCTCTCCTGTTCTCACAGTGTACCCCACAGGAATCATCTCCAGGCCTAGTGAGTTTTGTTTGTAACTGCATTAAAGTGGAGAGCACCAGTGAAACAACCCCACAGCATAGACTGACCGATGGGGGAGAGGGTGCTGCTCTCACCCTACCTCTTGCCATTCTTTCTTTTGCTCTAGCCTATGACCACTTTTAATTCAGTCAGTTTGCAGTTGGCATAGGTTGAGCTTATGGACTAACCCAAAGCCCACAGGTCTTTCTCACATGCAACTCAATCCATGTCTGCTATAAATCTAAGTAATTGGCTTTTATAATCAACGGCTAGCATTTGTCCTATCTTGTTAGATTGTATCTTTTGGTTCCAAACCAATTCTTTCGAAATAGGAAGCAGTAGGCTCAGAAGAGGGAGCTGTAACGCCATACTTGGGGAATTAGGGCACGGTTAGATCTTCACTGCTGATTCCCAGTTTAGGAAGCAGCAACATGTGATTAGTCAGTCATTAGAGAACAGCCCAGACTGTCTGCATTTCTAACCAAGTCGTCACTGCTTCCATTCCCTGCTGTACGGTGCCCCCGACATTGTGCTGAACATGTTGCCTTCATTATCTCCTTTAGTCCCTGCGGCAGCCCAGAGCACACCCTGCTGTGAAATCCGGGTGTGCTCTGGTGGTCTGGATACATCAGATTCATTCAAGAATGCTTTTAAATAAAAAATCTCAGGTTTTAGCCCAGAGATTCTAATTCAGTAGGAATGAAGTGGGGCCAGGAAATGTCTTTTTCAAAAGTTTTGCCAGTGATCCAGTGCACCTGTTTGGGAGTAACTGTTTTATAATTGCTTGGCTCTTGAACAGCACAGCTTGGGTCTCATTCACCTTCCTCCCTGTAGAGCTTGCTGCAGCAGAAGCCCCCAGGGAAGATGGCTGAATCAAAGTTCAGATGCACAGTGTCAGGAGAGTGAAGATGGTCGGTGTTGTGAGTCCTGAGCTTTCTGAAGACCAGGCATGCAGCTTTCTCTGGGGGTCTGATAGCTACCCAGGGAAAGGGCTCAGCCCAGGGTGACTTGGCTCACAGAAGAATGGGGACAGCATTGTGAGATGATAAGGCTGCCTGGCCAGGCAGAGATCCTGGGGGCCTCTGCCCTTCCTGGGAAACAACAGGAATGACTATTGTCCACGAGGATGCAGCTTAATGTTACCCAACCTTCAACTCGTTGTTATTCACCAAAAGCCAAGCTTCAAAAAATGCTATTGGATAAATATGGTACCTTTTAAACAGCTGTTCAAGGATAATGTTAGAAGGGCATACTGAGGACCTCTGCGGAATGTCCAAACAAGACGGCAGGGAACTTAGGACTCAGACGGTCAGATGGTCTCATCTTGCACTTGTCTCTGCATCCAGGAGCTTTAACTTCCACTACCTGGACAGGAGGCCAGTCCTGGAGTGTGGGGCAGGGGACTAACTTTCCTGGTGATGAGGGGCAGGCCTCAGACATGCCACCACCATTTTCACTAATTTTTATCTATAACATAATATCAGAGCTGAAAGTGCCCTTTTTTTAGATGGAGAAAATGGGGTCCTGAGAGGGACAGTACTTGCCCAGCGTTTACAGTGAGCCAGACACTGAACCCTGGGTTCTTGTACCCCAACATGCTGCTGCACCAAAGCCCCCAAGATAACTAACCTTGGAATAGACTTTTTTTTTTTCAAGATTTTATTTATTTGAGAGAGAGCGACACAGGTAGGAATAGAGATAGCGACAGGGAGAAGCAGGCTTCCTGCTGAGCAGGGAGCCCGACGCGGGGCTCAATCCCAGGACCCTGGGATCATGACCTGAGCCGAAGGCAGACGCTTAACCAACTGAGCCACCCAGGCGCTCCTGGAATAGACTTCTGTATGCAGAGGAAACAGGGTCCCAGTATCATTTACTGCACACATTTAAACAATTGCCCCAGCACCATTTCTTGGTGAGTTAAAAATTTCCCCACTGATCTGCAACAGCACCTACCCTAAACCAGTTTTCACACATGCAGCGGTCTGTCTACTGTCCCACTGGTCTATCACGGTGCCAGTATGGTGCTGGCTTCATTGCCATTGCTCTGTCACTACACTGTGGCATCTGGCGGGGGGGGGGGTCCTCCCACCTGTGTCACATCAGGTTTCAGAATCAACTTAGGTTCTGTTAAAAAATAGTTGCGATTTGGACAAGAACTTTATAAATACATTTATTGAGAAGGATTATAATAGCAAGTCCTCCTATCCACCAGTAATAGTATAGGTCTCCATTTATTTAGGCTTTAACACGTTTCACTGAAGTTTAATAATTTTCTCACACTAAGGTCACGAACATTTTTGATAGATTTAACTCCTACTTACTTTTGGAGGTATTTTTTCTTGTTACTATTATAAATGGTACTTTTTTCTTGATTTACATTTTGCATGTCATCAGCGTACTGAAATGAATTTGATTTCTGTATATTGATCTTAAATCCAGCACCTATTAATGCTTTTGTATTTTGTAAGTGGAAAATCAATCACTATCTGTGAAAATGAGCTGTTTCTTCCTTTTCTATACTTTACTTTCTTTTTGTTGTATCAGTGCACTGGGTGGGACTGCACAAGGAAGAGTAGCAGTGGTCAAGGGTATCCTCCGCTCACCCTGACCTTGAATGGAATACTTCACACATTTCATTTGCTCTACGTTTTCTGTAGATCTACTTCGTGAGGTGAGGGTAGTTCCTTTCTATTCCCAGTCTGCTAGGAGTTTCTGTAGTTTGTTGTTTTTGTTGTTGAATGGATATTAAATTTTACTGAACACTTTTTCTGCATCTGTTGACATCATCTAATTTTCCTTTAATCTGTTAATGATTATTTGGGTTCTTCTACCTCCTGAAAAATGAGAAAATAATCTGAAATATAAAGAAAACGTTGAGATCCTTTTATTGTCTGTCTTTGTGAGCTTCACACACACTGGCTGTTACATAAGAGACTAAAACCCAGAAAGGCTGCTGCTTACTCAGGCTGCTTCCACATATTTGCTTTCAGACTGGGCAGTGGACTGGACACTGGGGGTGACAGACTGGATAGACCTGCTGGCTGAGGGCAGGCCAAATAAGCTCTGCTCTGCCAGATGCAGAAAAGAGCAGGTCCAGGGGCCAGGAACACAGGGAACCTAGAGGAAACATGATGTAGATGCCAGACTGGAGAACGGACAAGGTAGGGATTGCTTTATCACCCTTGGACACAGCCAGCTTTACCTGAAATCTGAGGTAGGAGTGCCCCTTCCTAGTGCCCCCCACAACCAGTCTGGAAGTGGGCAGACTTTTTCCCAGTGGGCCTCTCAGAAAATGAAGGCAATCATTTTTACTTCCAAAGAATTCTGGTTCCAGCAGAACAATGGAGACATAAGGTCTCTCACGACAGGTTTTCCAAATGGTGGATTCACCAGTGTGAATGCTGAGTGCGCCCTCATGAGCTAACTGTGCACCGAATAACTCTCTCTACTCTGCAGGGGATCTTCAGAACCAGGGAACCAGGCCCATGAGACTTACAGGGCCATGACTCCTGTCTTCAGGCCTCCACAGGGCTGTCCAGGGTCAGAACATGGAAGCATGACCACAAAGGTGACAAACCAGGACCAGCAGGAGCTCCAGGAAGCACAGAGGCTGACTTAGCAGAAGGAAGAACGTTCATATTGACTCCCCTGATGGGAGAGGATTGCCTCATCATGGCAAATGGACAAAGACTTGATGACCGTCAGCAGGAATTTCACAGAGCAGATTCATGCCAGGACTGGATTGCTGCCTGTAAAGTCCCTGCTAGCCCTGGAATATGTAGTGACACCAGCTAGAAATGCCTGGGTTTACTTAAGAGCCAAGGTGGTAAATGTAGTGTTTTGGCTCAGGACCATGGGGCTCATGGCATCATTCCACAGGCCCAGCTGCCCTTTGTACCATTGGCCTTGACACCTTAGGTCCTTTGAGTTGACCTACCTGCTCCCCAAGAGCTGGAGAGCCCTTATAAGCTATGTGCTCCTGCATATTTTACAAATTGGAGCCTATACTGTGGCAACGTGCCAGGAAGCGATCGGAGACTTCCAACATGAATTATTTGTGGAGGGAGTTGCTGTTACCTGACTCTGCCTTCACGTACCAGTGCAGCACAAACGGGGGCTTTATTGGTGGGGCTTGGGAAGCTGTGACAGAGCCCAACATGCAGGCGGTGAGGGCTTGGATAGCTTCCAGGAGACAAAGGATGAGGGGGGACACGCCTCAGTGGGCTCCGCTGCTCGGGGCACATTGTCCCTTCTCAGTTCTTAGAGGCAAGTGCGCATGAAGAAGGTTCAGCACTTCACAAACTGGTGGGTGACCTCGTAGACTCCCACAGATTCCTGAGCCTTTTCGTCATAGTCAGTCCAGTCCTGTGGGGAAAAAAATGGCCCTGTCAACCTCATGAGATGGCCTAAGACGGTGGGGACAATGGCACTCTGGGACTTTAAAGGGCCAGTTCAGGCTCTTACTGAGATAGATATACATGAATATGTAGGACCTGGAACAGAGCTAGATTGCATTTCTGGGCAAGTTACTTAACTTCTCAGAGCCTCAGTTCTGTCCTCTATTAAAAAAAGGAACAGTGGCGGGCGCCTGGGTGGCTCAGTTGGTTAAGCGACTGCCTTCGGCTCAGGTCATGATCCTGGAGTCCCAGGATCGAGTCCCGCGTCGGGCTCCCTGCTGTCAGCGGGGAGTCTGCCTCTCCCTCTGATCCTCCCCCCTCATGCTCTCTCTCCCCATCTCATTCTCTAAGTAAAATCTTTAAAAAAAAAAAAAAAAAAAAAAAGGAACAGTAACAGACTTCATGTTGAATGTTGAAAGAAGCAAATGAGGAAACACATGTAAAAGTACTTAGCATAGTGTCAGGCACATGTAAGAGCTCAGTAAATTCCAGCTGTTGTTGTTATGAGGTGCTATGCAGACTGAAGGAGGTTTCTGTCCTCCTTTTGAAGCCTGACCACAAGGCTTATGTAAGGTAGTAACATGTTCAGTAATACAATTGATTTTCATTATTCATGGTAGTTATATTCTACAGAATCACCACAAACACTGAATTAGTAAATAGCGAACCACTGCTCGCAGGGGAAATGCAGGGTTATGTTCTTGGAAACCTCAGATCACGTTTTCTTCAACCAATCAATTTACAACCTTGTTTTGGGTAGGTTTCCGTTTAAAAATATCTTATATATAGTTGATTCATTAATATTGAACTCCTAGCCAACAGCACTAGAACTCATGCCTACACAAAGCTTATCTAACATGCATTTTCTCCATTGGGTATATTGCAGCCTTCTTGCTTGTGGAATACTAGGTAGCACTTTAACACTACACTTGGGGCCATTTAAACACCAAAATCACCAACAAAAATTAAAAAAATGTGGAATCATCTTTCTATTGATCTTTGTTCACCAAAAAGGTAATTCCCACCAGGTACCCTACAGCACCCCGCAAGGCCCCCAAGTCCTGTACCTTCTCCTGCAGATTAATATCACTGAAGACTGTCCCCGATTCCACACCCTCAGCAGCAAACCCAGCCTGGAGGTGACAGGAAGGCAGCAGTTAGTCTGGGGGAAAGGAGGTACTGGTCTGGCCAGTGAGGCCTGGCCAGGGAACTGGCTCTTTTCATACCACCTTTGGGATGGGAGGACAGAGATGCAGTGAGCACCTGTTCTGGAATAATGCACTTCCTGAGCCTGGAAGTTTTCCCAGGCCTACAGTCATTCCTCTAAAGGCCTGGGCCAGAGGCAGGGGGGTGGGGTAAACCTTTCTACTACCCCTGAGCTCCTGAAAGCCGCTGGGCATGTCATTCCCCTCTCTGGACCTTAGTTTTCTTGTTTAGGAAACGGGGATGAGAATGTTGTTTTGTCTCCCTGCCTCATAGATTTGTCGTGGGGTGGAAAAGCTGCATAAATAAAGTGGGATGAGCACTGGCTCCGAAATCAGAGAGACCTGGGTTCAAATGACCGTTCAATGCTTACTGTCACCCTGAGCAAGTTGCAAAATCTCAAGTTCTTTCCTTGTCTGAAAAACAGGACGAATAACTTCACGGGGTTACTGTGAGGATTAAATGAAGTAATATGTAAACATGACCAGCACAATGCCCAACATATAGCAGGCACTTAATAAGAGAGGAGAAGTCCTAGTCCATGGTCTCTGGATGAAGCAAAGTTCTGTTGTTACTTCCTATATGCACCCCCCAAAGATACAGGTTACGCACCTGGGGCTGGAAATCAACTGGTTCAAGGCCTCGGCATTCAAATTCTACGATTGTCTTGAACTTCTCATTGTCTTCAGCCTAGAAAAGAAGTGTTGAGGGGGCAGGCCCAACTGGGCCCTTGGGAAGATCTCATTGCCCCCGCCCTTCCTGCCAAGTGGGCCCTACTACCCAAGAGCCCAGAATGGGACTTAGGAGCAACTCCTCTTCTAGAAGAAGACTGCATTGGGTACCTGCTCCTCGTGAGACCTTCTTGGACACAGTTGCTGTAGAAGAAAGACTGAGTTCTGGAGTCAGCCTGCCTGGATATGAGCTCAGACAGCTCTACCTCTCTTCCCAGCTGGGCCTAAGATTGTCAGATTGGGCTGAGGAAACCATTACAGGTTTGCTGTGAAAATCTGAATTATGTGTAAAGTGCCCAGCTATAGTACCTGACACTATGCTCAATAAATAGCAGATAAAATTATCAAAATAAAAAATATGAACAAGAATGTTAGGCTCTAAAGTCTCCAGATTTTCCCAATGGCTGAGGATGCTTAACTGCAGCCTTTTGCTAAACCTCTGCCATGCTGTGAGGCAGGAGGCTGACTTAAAAGCCTTTGAAATGGGGTTTTCATGTGGAAGAGGCCCCTCTGAGGGGACTGGTATAATGAGGAAATTCATGCCTACCTGACCCATGGGCTCAGAGATGCCAAGCACCACACCCACACACTCTCATTCTGTCCTTCACTGTAAAATCATTTCCTACACACCAATCATGTGCCTGGCATGGGTGAGGCACTCTGTTGGCCCTGGTTTGCTTTTTGTTTGCTGGTGTGTCTTACTTACGATATATCATTTACTTCAAAGCAAGTCCTTGCGACTTCTCCCTTTAACTTCAGAACATAGGTGAGAATTTGGCATAAATCAGACATGTTTCAAAAATACTAAGTAAGGGGGGTGCCTGGGTGGCTCAGTCAAGTGTCTGACTTCAGCTCAGGTCATGATCTTGGGGTCCTGGGACTGAGCCCTGTGTTAGGCTGTGTGCTCAGCGGGGAGTCTGCCTCTCCCTCTCCCCCTCCCTTTACCACTCCCCCTGCTCGTGCTTGCTCTCAAATAAATAAATAAAATCTTCAAAAAAAAATACTAAGTAAGGAATGGGTGAATACAAGTAACTACCCTTTAAACAAAGAGACTCAAAGCCCATACTCCCTCCCCCACCGTTTGGACTAATTTGTTACACAGTAATGTACAACTAGCTAATGTCAACGTCAAGGCTGCCAGAGAAAGCTCAGGAGTCCCCCAGTGTAGACAAGGCAAGGGCTCCCAGTGATGGAAACTGAGTGGACAGGTTGGGCCAGAGGTTCCCTGAGCTCCCACAGCCCAGTGCTTATTAGAGAAGACACTGTAACAGCCTGTTTATGAATCTTCTGCCTACCAGGCACTCAGCCAGTGTATGGTGAATAAGTGACTGATAGAGTGAGTGAATGAGTGAACAAGTATATGAATGAATGTCCCGTAGCAAGTCACGCTGGTGCAGACAAACTCTAGAACCCAGGCCTCCTAGCTCCCAGCTTAGATTTAATCCCACCAAACCTGCCACCACAGCAGGAAACTTACATTGTAAGATTTGATGGTGCTGCTCAAAATCTCTGAAATGTGAAAGAGAAGACAAAGTTGACTTGAGTCCATACTCTGCCCCCATCCCTGTGCCCAAACGTGGCTCTGGGAAAAAGAGTCGGCTGCCACACCCTGGGCACCTCAGGCCTGGGTCCACCCACAGTAACATGAGCCTGCTTTTGCTCTAGTACGAGGAAGATGTAGCCTCAGTTGGCAGAACTCGGGATTTGTGGCCTGACCTACCGATGGAGTTTTCCCTCGCGCACAGCTTGCACTTCTGGACCATGGAGGCGCTGCCACGACCTCCCTTCAGTGCCACACTGTCCTGGCAAGGGTAAACAGAATCTCTAGTCATACATTAATTAGATATGATCCCGTCTACCACTTATCAGACAGGTGAAGAGACCAAGACAAACAGGGAGCACCATCTGCTAGGACAAGAATCCTGGGGAGCTTCTTGAGACTAAGAAAGGGACTCCCCTTGATTTTGAACTCTGCCTCACATTCCAAAGAAGCCTGTTCTTCCCAGTGTTGACCATACTAATGGCTGCCCTTCCAAACCACAAAAAGCAGGGTCCAAAGACCTGAGAGATTAGGGCCACAAGTTCCCTCCCCAAATCCCTGCCCAGAGGCCTATGTGTGTTTGTGTGTGGGTATGGTGGTAGGGGGAGTAGTTACCATCAACCGAATATACTGCCACTTCTCTGAAATCTCACCACAGTTGCCACATTTCATCTTGGGGGAGGAAAAAGAAGATTAGTAAAGCAGTTGGCTCAGATGGGCAGACAGGAAGGGCAAGAAAAGTGTGACAGTGGGCAGGCTCGACCTACCTTCCTGTCCACAATTTCACCTCCTTACAACCAGCCCCACCAAGGACATAACCGAAATTTCCCTCTGGGCAAAGAACAGGTCAAGTGTTTCTCCTGCTGGCATGCCCGCCCTCCTCTAAGAAGTACCCAGTCTGGCTAGAAATTCAAGGCTCCTTGAGTGCAGAAATGGCACCCTTGTTGGGTCTGGAGCTTCCCTTGTGTTCTCACAGGCCTTGCAGGATCCTAGTAAAAGTACTTATTGCTGTTGTTACTCTATTTCTCTGTCTCCCCTGCTAGATTCTGTGCTTTTTGAAGTGGAAGAACATCAATTCCTCAAACAAGCCCTGGTACTTGAGCTTCAAAATATTTGGTAGTAAAGGTGGCCAGAAAAAGCTTCCTAAAAGGGATAGAGCTTTTGCCAGGTTCTGAAGGATGCTGGGGTTTTGACGAGGAAGGAAATAGAGCAGAAGCTCTGAGATCTGGAGAGTGAAGGGCACACTGCTCAGGTGGAGGGGGGCCTCTGCAGACCAAGCCACCAGAGTACCAGATTCACCAGTATGGGGTGCGGAGGGATGGAGGAAGCCACGATCAAAATTAAAACGGTTTCACGATAAATAAAGCCTAATCAACAAATAAAACAGAAGGTGAAATTCCCCTCCTTGCTAAACAATCCCAAGACCCCTTCAAGTCGTCTTTCGCTTAGTGTTTACAAAACATGAAATATTTCACGGAGGAACAATTAAAAAAGGAATTCCGAGACACTACCAATTAAGAATTAACCAATACATTTAGAAAAGCGAACAGATTCTATTCAGGAAAATAACATTTAATGGCTATACATTTCCAATCTTGCTAGAGACAAAGCTCCCCTCGGAAACTGACTTTAGCACGGGAAAGCTTTCCCTGGGCCCGGCCCCTGGCGCCCACCCCCCCTTCTGGAGTCGCTCCCCCACCCGGAACCTCGCGGCACCTACAGCCCCTCCGATGCTCCTCCCTTGTCCCGCCTAGGGTCCCGCCCCTCCAGCCGCACCTTGAGGTACCACCGGAAGTCCTCACCCAAAGGGCGGAGGTTGGTGACATTCTCCAGCGTGGCTTTGAGCTGCAGCGCAATTTTCTGTAGAGAGGAAGGGCCTCAGCAAGCGCATCAACCGCGCTTGCGCAGCCCTACCGAGCCCCGGCCCCGCCCCTCCTGGATTCGAGCTCTGCCTCCCCCGCTCCTTCTCAGCGCGAGCCCACTTCTCTCATTCCCTCCTGGCACGAACTCCCGCCTCCCAGGTCCTCCCCACCTCCCCGTCCCTGCCCCAGCGGCAGTTTGCCTCCGCCTCACCCCCATAGTGGCTTGGCTCGGCCCGACCCCACCCGGCGATAGCTGCGGCCGCTACTTTCCGGCCCGTCGTAAACGGCGGGCGCAGCCAGCGCATCGAGTGCAGACCTCCGGCGTGCGTCGGGAGGGGCGGAAGGCGGGGCCTTCACGCGCTGCTGCTTACCGCGCGCGGCGGCGTGCCTTTGCTCTAAGATTAAGTGGAGCTGTGGAGGTGTTGTGAGTCCGCAATCAGCCTGAGCTTGGAGCCGCCGAAACCTGTTGCCAGATATTTGCTGAGCGCCAATCTCGTGCCGGCACTATGCTGGTCTGAGGGATACCGTAGCAAACACGACAGTCCCTGCGCGAAACCTCTGCCAGGGCTTTTTCCTGCCCCTCTTCACTACTCGGTCTTCTCTCACCCAACAACCGCGTGGTCCGTGCTTGCGTTCTGAGGCTTCTTAGATGGCGTCGGTTCCGCCTGCCCTAGGCCAGCTTCGCAGATTTGAGGGATTGGGGCCCTTCTTCTCTAAACTGCCCCTTCCTCTTTCCCCCAGGAGACCGGCTTTCAGAGGGTTGCCCCGTGTACACGTCTCTCGCTGCAGTCCCCAACACTGGACACTCCCTTTCAGGGGGGCTCTTCTCTGGGCTCCTAGTTTATCTTTGTATATTACCTGGACCTTGTTTTATGTGTCCTCTTGTCCAGGGCACATCTGAGACCATACGGAAGCTGTGGGTGTGGGTGTGCGACACGTAAACAGCCTTTGAGAGTCTCACGGTCATTTAAATTTTGGAGTTACTATTCTTATCTACTTTACCATCAACTTACTTCATTGCCCCAGGTACCCTTCTATAGAGAGGGATGCACTGGAGTTAGGAACCCTGACAACTTAGGACCTAAGTTGCTGCTATCTTTGAAGGAGGCAGATTGTGTGTATTGGGGGGGCGGGAGGGGTGCAGGGAACACTGGCCTCGGAGTCAAAAGACTTGGGACATGTCCCAAGCTGGCCTGTCTTGTGGGATGAGCTTATCCTAATCACCTCTCCACAAATGAGATTGATCAAGCCAGTTCCTTTCAGCACCCACAATCTGGTCAACCAGCAATTTGCCTAAGGAAGCAGTGCAATTTAGCAGCAAGGAAAAGTCCCTACAGATCTACGTACTGAACAAATTCCCACTGTCCATATGAGCTAGGTCTCAGTTCCTATCGACTGTTAGTATTGATTTTAAAATGGATTATTAGAAAACTTCTCTGCGACCAGGCATTATCCCTTATATTATACTAAACCAAAATGTTTTCCTCCATACTGAAATACCTACAGATGTATCTATAAAAGAGGATTTAAAAAACCCCAACCTCAATTATATCTCAATAAAGCCGGAGGGGGAAAAATCCATTTCACACCTAAAATTTTAGAAAATACTTCATTAATATAAAATACCCAGTGTTCAAATTTCCTTAATGTTGTCAGTTTTGTTTTTTGAATCATGATCCAAATAGGGTCCAAACTGTACTATGTGTTTCTTAAATCTCCTTTAATCTACCAGTTCCCACACCATCTCTATTTATTTTGTTTGCAATGTGTTTTTGAAGAAGCCAGATCCTCTGCCCTGGAGTTTCCTTTGGATATTGGTTGGATTTCTATTGTATTTTCTTCTTCTTTTTTTTGATCTATTGTATTTTCTAACTTTTCTCTCTATTCTCTTATTCCTGTAAATTGGTAGTTATATCTATAGGTGATTAATAGACTTTTGGCAATACTTCACATAGGCTGTTTTAAAAAATAACTGAGGAGAGTTCACATGTTCAGGTCTTTATAAAATAACAAAAAACTGCATTTTGTTATGTATTTATTAAAGACAGTCATTTATAGTTTATAAAAAAAATATTGTCCTGATATACACAAAAATGTCCTGATAATGGTAATTAAGAACAGGTACTCCCAACCCCCCTTATGTCCACATCAATTTTCAATCTAGATTGGCTTAATCTTGAAGTGTAATCCAATAAGACTGAAGACCAAACACTTCAGGTCCTGGACAAGATAATAAAATACTCGTAAGCCTTCTGGATCCCTATAATGCAAGAGGAAAAACATGTTTAAAAAGCTGGAAAAAACTGGCAAAAAACCAAAAAACATTTAATAACCCAGATTATTTACATAAAGACATTTACAGAATTAAAACTTTAAAAGCAACCAAGTGTCCATAAAGAAGGAAAAGGCTATGTGCTATATATTAAATGAGATCATTTTAAATGTTAGTTTTTAATGGGGAAAGTTATTATTAAATGAAAAAATCATTATTAAAATAACAGATTGCTGATCTCAATGATATTTTTTGTGCTTTTTAAAAAGTTAAATAGTTTTTAATGCATGTGAAATAGATCAGAAATACTTCAAGATATTAATGGTTGTCTGATAAGTTTGTAGGTGATTTTCCCCCTTTTATTTTTCTGCATTTTCTATAGTGAGCATGTATTACTTTCAGAATTAGAAAAACTTGTTTTATTTTTTATTTATTTTTAAAAAAGATTTTATTTATTTGACAGAGAGAGAAAGAGCACAAGCAGAGGGAGAAGCAGGCTCCCCGCTGAACAGAGGGCCTGATGCGGGACTTGATCCCAGAACCCTGGGATCATGACCTGAGCTGAAGGCGGCCACTTAACTGACTTAGCCACCCAGGCGTCCCTAGGAAAACTTTTTTTAAAAAGAAGTAGTACTAAGCAGGACCAAGAGGCCAAAGATTACTATGGCACAACCGGCTAAGAACAAGGAGATTGTCCAAAGGAAGACAATTACACCCAGCATGTACTAAAAGTGAGCCATAGGGGCACCTGGGTGGCTTGGTCAGTTAAGCGTCTGCCTTAGCTCAGCTCATGATGTCAGGGTCCTGGGATTGAGCCCTGTGTCAGGCTCCCTGCTTTTCCCTCTCCCCAGCTCATGCTCTCTCTCTCTCAAATAAATATATAAAATCTTTAAAAAATAAAAATAAAAGTGAGCCATATCTAATCTCAAATCCTCAAAACACAGGAGCTATATGTTGCCAAATTCTTTTTTTTTTTTTTTAAGGTAGGCTCCATGTCCAGCATGGAGCCCAACGTGGGGCTTGAACTCAAGAGCTGAGCTGAGATCAAGAGTCAGACCCTTGGGGCGCCTGGGTGGCTCAGTTGGTTAAGCGACTGCCTTCGGCTCAGGTCATGATCCCAGAGTCCTGGGATTCATCTCCAATGACAATTTCAAGCTCCTAGAAACATCTCAGCGGGGAGTCTGCCTCTCCCTCTCCCCCTCCCTTTACCACTCCCCCTGCTCCCCCTTCTTTCTCGCTGTCTCTCTCTCTTTCCATTAAATAAATAAATAAAACCTTAAAAAATATTAAAAAAAAAAAAAGTCAGACCCTTAACTGAGTCATCTAGGCGCCCCAGAGGTTGCCAAATTCTAAGGACTCTCTGTAGCATACAGACTCATGTCTCAGCTTTATTATCTGCCCTGACAACATGAATTTTTAAGTTTGTATTCTAAACATTGAAGTTTCACCACTGTCAGACTATAAGATCTGCTAGTCTGAATGGCCAACACTGAAAAGGTGTTCAGATCGACCCAGCGACTCTACAGTTTATCTCAAGCACCTGTTCTGGCATATTTCATTTTCTGTTCTGGCCAGATTCTTATCTTAATCTTGAAGTGTAATCCAATAAGACTGAAG